AGCTTGCGCTGGACTAGAATCTGTCGAGCTCCTCGGACGCTGGTGGACGGCCCGTCGTCGCTGGTGGCAGCGGAGCGAGATCGGTCTCGCTGGCGGAAGGTCAGCGGAATCAGGTGCAAGCAGACGTGGACCTTTCCCTCCTGCCAGAGAGAGGCTCCTGCCAGAGAGAGGTCTTCGCCGGCACCCTCGGAGACAAATTATGCGGGAGCTGACCACAGGACGTGGTGCGGGCCAACAGTAGGGGAACGAACAATGACATAAACATACAAACTCGGAGGTCCGCGCGGATTTGTCGGATCCGCGCTGGACCCCCCTCCCTGGCGCGCGGAGCGCGCCAGGGGCGGCGCCGGAGGCGCCGCCGGGGGGCCCCAGCGCCGATCCGAGAAATCCGCGTGGACCTCCGAGTTTTTATGTTTATGTCATTGTTCGGGTCTCTAAACAGTGGTGGCAGCACTCGGCTTCCAGCTGGCCTCAGGTTCAGTCGAGGCGCTGAAACAGCACTGTGGGCTCGGGAGGGGCTCTGGACTTTGGGGCCGTTCCCCGGGTCCAGGCCAGGGAACCTCTTCGGGGCCATGGCTGGGAGTGGCCAGGATCGGCCACGCGCAGAGGGGGGTAGGGGGAGGGGGGAAGGCTTCTTAGAAGCACCCCTGCTTCTTAGAAGGCGCGGTCCTTATGTATAGATGTAAGGCCGCCGCCTTCTAAGAAGCATCCTCCTTCTAAGAAGCCTTCCCCCCTCCCTCCACCCCCTTCTGCGCGCCGCCAACGGAGGCCGGATCCTTCCTCATCAGTTCCGTATTGCAGCTCGATGCTCGTGCTGATGGCCGCAGATCGCCTCGGAAGGCTCTGGGTAGCTCCAGGTGGCTTCTGGAGTCCAGGGGGTACAGTCGGAGTGCCGCGGTTCTGGCGCGCCTCATTCTCCTCGTCCTCTTCGTCGTCGTCGTCGTCGTCGCCCTCCTCCTTCCATGGGCGCTCTGGCTCAATCGAAGACAGTCCTGTGCCTCAGGGCGAACCACGACCTTTTTACCTTACCCACTATCATCTTTATATTGTATTACCTATCACTACTCAGCTGCGCTGTCGCGTCGTACATCCGCCACCGCGCCAGGGGTCTGGCTGAGGGGGCCTGCTACGGTGTGCCTGGGGATGGGTGTCGCTCGGGGTGTCTTCGGAATCTTGATGTTGGCGCTACCACTCCATCGCAATCCCGAGAACGCGGACCAAGACATCGACGCAGTCGTGTGCCTGGGGGCAAAAAGATGGGCTCGGCCTCGATGTGATGAGGTTCAGTGCTTCCTGTTTTGCAGGGGGTGGGGCTGAGAAAACAAGGGGCCCGACACACACTGACCGTTGCACAAAGCTGCAGAGGATTTCTGCACAACTCTGCCTCGAGATGAGGCTTCCTGCGACACTATTCGCGCCCGCCCGCACAGCGAGCGCTGATCTGCAGCTCGTGCAGGTCGCGATCCGAAGCCCCGACGTGAACGGCGGCCCCGCCATGCAGCCGCACCGGGCTTGCCGCACCTCCGTCGAAGGCGACGAGTGCTACGAGATGGTGATGTGGGGGATGCGGACGGGCGTCGTGGAGAACCCAGATTGGTTTGCCCCCCTGACCAGGAACTCCAGCTTCGAGGACTTCCAGCGGCATACCTCGCGGCTGTCCGCCGTCTGCCCAGAGCCCTGTGCAGCGCCAGCACCGGAGGAGTGCCGTACATCCGTCGAGGGCGATGAGTGCTACGAGAGGGTCGTGTGGGCGATGCGGACGGGCGTCCTGGAGAGGCCCGAGTGGTACCCATCCCTGACTAGGGACTCCAGCTTCGAGGACTTCCAGCGGTTCCTGCACGGCCAGGCCAGACACTCCCACGTGTGCCCCAGGCCTTGCGCATCGGCGCTGGAGGAGTGCCGTACATCCGTCGAGGGCGATGAGTGCTACGAGAGGGTCGTGTGGGCGATGCGGACGGGCGTCCTCGAGAGGCCCGAGTGGTACCCATCCCTGACTAGGGACTCCAGCTTCGAGGACTTCCAGCGGTTCCTGCACGGCCAGGCCAGACACTCCCACGTGTGCCCCAAGCCATGCTTCACACGGGAAGCCACAGAGCGGGTCCCAGCAGCCACCGTCCGAAGTCCTACGTCCGCACCAGCTCCGTCCCACACGCCTATCGGCGAGGAGGATTTGCTTGCAGCCAGCTACCCTGGGTTCATGCAGAAGGGCCGCAACTGCCAGTGCGGGAATGCAATCGGGCAGTTCTCAGAAGAGTTCGAGACTCTAGCACTCTGTGCGTACGAGTGCACTCTGTATGAGAATTGCCAGTCCATCGGCCTTCACCCTGCAGAGTCTGTGTGGTCAGGCGCGTGCACTTTATTCGACGCGCCTTGCGACGACACTGACGGGAACGATGACAACACGACTTGTGCCGATCCTTCCCCTCACGGTTCCGTCAGCATTAATTTCAATAGGGTGGATTTTGGCACACCTGCACCAACAATAGCGCCTGTACCAACAATACCGCCAGATTCTTGCGACGTTATCGATGGATCTTCTCCCAGCTCCCTATATCCTTGCATGTGCGGATCTAGTTTTTGTGGAACGAATCAGATATGCTCCGCCAGAGCAGATTCATGTGGGCCAGTAGGGTTCTTCATGGTGGACTGGCCATGCTCAAACCCCGCGATCGCCAGTCCGTATTTCAGCCTTTCAGGAGTAAGTGCGATTGGATCGCCAATCTACAGCAACTTCGCTGGCAATTATATCTACTGGGATGCTTCTTGTGATGGATCAGGGGGCGACACCCAGAGTCGATGGATTCTTGACCAGGGCGCGCCCAACACAACGGCCTCCATGGACCTGGATTCCGATGGGGACTGCGTCTACTTTGGGCACCACCTCACTTCGGAGTTCCTCGGGCCCCCCCTGGGGAACTCAACCTGGACGGTCGCGTGCGACGGTGTGCAGTCCGCAATGCGGGCAGTACCAAGCGTGGTATGCCACCAGGGGGGCCACCAGTTCCTCCCGAGGATCGGGCTTCCGGCATCGTTGCTCGAGAAGGATTTTGGATGCTTGGGCTCGTTTTGGGGGGCTCTGGAGTGCCCAGCGGGCTTCATCCCCTCGATGAAATTCAGGCGATCGCAAACATGGATTAAGGTGGCGTGGATTAGCGACGGGTCCCGTTTCAATGGAAAATCGCGGATTGTCGCCGCCGAACGAGGCGGCACCGGCCAGCACGAGGCGGCACCAGCCGCCGCCGCATCTTGGGGAGGGCACCTCCACCGATCCATGTATCTGGCGACCGCGCGCCAGATCTCTGGATCGCTATAGTCCACGTCTGCGCGCCCCCGTGAGATGGCGTTCCCTCGAGGAGGTGACGACTCGACTAGACGTAAGAGTGACCTTTCGCCGGAGTGACCTTCGGTGCGGGCACAGATTGGCCCCCAGATGGCCGAACGCGAAGCGGCAGCAGCGGCCAGCGCGCCTGGATCTGGCCTCCCCGCGGCCCCCCCAAGGCCGCGCACCAAAGGCCACTCTTACCCAGGGTCCCCCTGACGTGCAGCCGAGCGACGCCCCTGGCGGTGACCCCCCCCTTGGGTACAGTCGGGGCCCTGAAGAAGGAACCCTTTTCGTTGGGGAGGGGCTCCGCGTTCCTTAAGTGTTTCACAGCTTGCCTCAGGCTTTCCTTATGTTTTCGACAGGAAATCGAAGGTTAACTTATGGACAAAAGGGGCCTCGTTCCTTATTTAGCGTTCCTTAGGTCAACGCCCCGACTGTACGTGCAGCCGAGCGACGCCCCTGGCGGTGACCCCCCCTTGGGTACTGCCTGGGACATGACGGTGCCCATCACGCACCTGCCGTCTCTGCCGACCCCCGCCCCAACGCTGGAGCCGGGCGTGCCCTGCGCCTGCGGGGCCGCGTGCGGCGGCTTCCTCTACGTGGACGTCGACGGCGACGGCTGCCTCTCCGAGTCGGAGTGCTCGCAGGTGGACGAGCTCCTGGGGCACTTCTCGGACATGGACGCGGACGGGGACAGCTGCGTGACCCAGGAGGAGTGCGCGGCCTCCCCCTACGCGACGCTTTTGCCCAGCTTCAAGGTCACGGCCCCGGAGTGCGATTATGGCTTCTACGTCGCGGAGGGAACCAGCGTGTGTGTGGAGTGCTCCAACGGTGAGACGAGGCGTCGTCGTGCGACCTTATGCACCGAGTGCCCTCCTGGAAAGACGGATCCTGGAGACTTCGACGAATGCATCTCGGGGGCATGGCTTGTACAGCCTGTATCTGTAGGAGACGACGTGATTGTCGTCAACCAGGACACAGATGAATACGGGGTTCTCCTGACGCGAGGCGTCGAAGTCATGATTGCCACGCGCAACCCGGGTCATTACCAGAGGCTGAGCATCGCGGATGTCATCTCACCCGCCCAGGGAGCTGGGCTCAGTAACGGGTCCGTCAGCTTCCGCATGAGTGGCCCAGCGGCTTTCAATTTCTCTGTGTACGATTCGGTCGTCGCTGGTTGCACGGCCACGGACGGACTGCTCTACAGTGACGTGTACCCATGCGGATGCGGCGCGGCCGTCTGCCAGCAGGGCGAGAGGTGCGACATGCATTGCGGCGGGCAGGGCGGATGTTGCCACGCCCCCGTGCTCGTGCCAGGCCAAGGCGGCTTTGTGCTGCCGACACCTGGCCCGACCGTGTCGGCCAGGGGGGACCCGCACCTGGTGAACCTGCAGGGGGAGCACTTCGACGTGAACCACGGGGGCGAGTTCACCCTGCTTAGGATCCCCCAGGACGAGAGCAGCCCGGCGGAGCTGGAGCTGAAGGCCTCCATTCGGCGACTACAATGGGTGTGGTTACGCGGGGGTGTGGTTTGCGATCGGCGCCGGTGGGGCTTAGGTCAGGAGGGAAAACACACACAGACACAATTAATCGTCGATCCCCCAGAAAACATGGGAAAATATGGGAAGTGGGGGAAGACAACAACCGAAAAAATATGAGGAATCCTTTCATTTGTGTGCATTTATTTGTGTGTCCTGGGGCCCCTTCATTAGGGGGTCGCCACGTTGCGCCACAGTTCTGATGAGCCCTCGCTGGGGGGCGCGGCCGAGACCTCTACGGAGGTCCTCGCTCGCCCCCCCCCCCTGGCGCGGGTTGCAGACCACGCCCTCTGCACACCGCGCCCCTCGGCGTCGCCGACCCATCCTCCCCGAGCACGGCCGGCCGTGCACCACGTACATCACCGAGGTGGAGCTCTCGGGCACCTGGCTCGGTGGCAAGGTCGTGCAGGTGCGCTCCTACAGGGCGAAGGCCAGCGGCGAGGCCAGCAAATTCGTGACGCTTTGCGCATTCTCACCAGCCCATCTAGGAACGATGCCCAGCGAGTTGCACTGACCAGGGAAGTGCAGGAACAAGCGGTGGAACAAAGAGGGGGGGAGCAGCCGTCAAACCGAAGCTCTGAATCAGACTAATCGGACCCACGGGTGAACCATATATGCCTTCTCGGCTCTTTGGATCTGGGAGCCTCTTGGCAGCTTACTTGGGCCATCTTGGGGCCCTCTTGGGGCCGTTTTGGAGACCTTCGGTGCTCTCTTAGGGCCCTCTGGGGGTCTCTTGGAGCCCTTTGGCGGTATTCGGGCCCTCTTTGTGCCATCTTGGAGTCCATCGGTGAAAGAAGAGGGGGATTCCTTATCAGCCCCGCCTCCCCTCTGGATTCCCCAACATCGTCTCTTGGGGCCCTGTTGGGGCGCTCTTGGAGCACTCTCAGGCGCTCGAGTGGCCGTTTTTGAGCCATTTGGGTCCCTCTTGGGGCGCTCTTGTTCATTTGGGGGCCGCGCTGAGGCTTCGGAGGCTCATCGGAAGCGAAAAGGCGAGAAGGCAAACATCGGTGGCGTCTGAAGGTTAGAGAAGGACTTAGGCCTCACGTGGGCATCCCTGGGAGGCTCCGTGGCCACCCAGGGCCATCTTGGAGCAGTCTTGGAGCCTCTCGGAGGCGTCTTGGATGCCATCTGGAGCAGCCGGCGGATATCCTGTGCCATCTCGGATGCCATCTTGGGCTCTCTCGGGCCATCTTGGTGCCACCTTGGGCGCTCCGACTGGTCGCCCTCGCGTCCACACCCAGAAGTATGGGTGCGGGGGGAGGGGTCAGGCTACCCCCCCGAAAGACGGCCGTGTTGCTCACTCCCACCCCCACTGCATGAGTACGTAGCACCCCTCGAGTCTCAGCATGGGTAGGGGCCGCCATCGACAACCATCGGGGACTAATGCAGGCGCCAGCCAGGTGCGCGACGTGCGCGAGGCGCGCCGCGCGCGCCAGGGTACCCCCATCATCCACGTCGGAGAACACTGCAAGATGATCGCGGGGCGCTCACGAATGGTCCAGTAGTTTGCCGCAACGTGCACTTTGCACGTGCTTTTGACAGGAAGGGGGGCCTGTACGCGTTGGGCAGGCAGTTTGCTCACCCCCACAAGCAAAGTGCGAGGTAATTCTGGGGCGCTCAAGCATGACCCTGGCTTTTCCTACAAGGAGCATGCTGTATTGTTTGTTGTCGGGGATGGTGTGATGGTGGGGGTTGCATTGACCCCAGTTAAGGGGTCGGTAAAGTGCAGGAGGGTGTGTATATTCAAAAGGGGCAGTGATAGCCCCTCCCCGAAGGGGAAGGAGGGGGTTGGACGAGCAAGCGCGCCAGACCACCTCAGCCCTGAAGGGCTGGTTTGATTCCTAGGCCTCAGGATAATGAGCCGCGGCGCGACCGCCGAGTCCAAGCCTGAGGAGATGGGAGACTCGGGCGAGGTCCCGTGGGAGAAGCTCGCGGATTGGCCCGACATGGCCTACCTACTCTCGGGGTTCCAGGGGAAGACGGGCTACATGGTGACCCTGGCCAAGACGCAGTGGCACAGCAGGAAGGGCTCCGGGCAGGGCGCGTCGAGCGTGGCTGGGCAGGTCGAGGTCCGGGTGCAGAGGAGGCGGCACAACGAGTCCGCGAGGATCATCATGCGCCAGGACCTGCCGCTGCAGGAGCACCTGAACCTGGCCGTGCGGCAGATCAGCGCGCTCGGCCGCGAGGACGTAGGCGGCCTTCTCGGCTTCGACCCGCACCCCGCGTCCCTGGAGGCCGTCTCGCCCGAGTGCCAGCGCTACAGGGACGGGCTCGACGGACCGCATGGCCCCCACGCCAAGCCGCGCTGGAAGACCCGCTGGGAGAAGATCAGGGAGCGGCGAGCCCAGGCAGACGCCCACGGCGGGGGCACCAAGGACAACGAGGCGGCCGCCAGCCTCGTCACGAGGGCCATGATGTGCGTGTGCGCCGTCGGCGACGCCTCGGGGGCCCGCGACGCGGGCCCCGCCGACGGCGGGGACGACGACGCCGAGGGCGTCCTCGCCGAGTTCCAGACCGGCAGGCTCGCCGAGGCGACGTGGGACTGACGAGCTCGTGGCCGCACGGGGCCAGGGCGAGGGTACCTCCGTGCCCGAGCGGTCCCGGAGCGCTCTGGGGAGAGCGTTCCGGAACGCTCTGGGAAGGCCGCGGCGCCCGCGGCATCCTCCAGCACCGCCAGATCTCAGAGATCCCCGAGATGCCCTCACCCGAATTTCTCCTCGTCCTGGCTTCGTCTGATGTGGGCCCCGCAGCGGGCTGGCGCCGCGCGGGCGGGCCGCCGCTCCGGCCGCGCCCCTCGCTCCGCGCCCGCTGCCGGCGCCTGGCGGGCGCCGCGGCCCCCGCTCCTGCGCGTCGCTGCGCAGGCCAGGCCTGCCTGGTTGCCCACGGCCCAGGGGGGCCCTCGAGCGCGGAGGTGGGACCCTCGAGGCCGTGCGCGCGCGTTGTGTGCGCCGAGGTCGAGCGCCGCCTGGTCCTCATCCTTGTCCTCCCCGTTCCGGATCTGGCCGTGTCTCGGCGGTGGCGCGCCGCACACTGGCGGGCGTCGCTGTAGTCGACTACAGCGACGCCCACCATTGAGCTTCAGCTCTTCCTTGTTCTGCTCTTTCTTCTCCTG